CAAAACAGCAACAAGAAAAACAGAATCCTCACAAAAGAAACACACACAGAATTAATTCCATTGTCCAGATGTCTGTAATCCATAAATGGTTGTATTTTTCCGTTAAGCCTCGAGAATGGTGGTAAACCTATTCTTCACCTCATGATCTGACAGCCATCATTCGTTATTTTTTCAAATATTGCTTACGGATAAGGCAACTCCTTCGATAGAATGCGTGTCACCAACATCTGGCTACCGCTCATCACTCACAATGTACATCGTGACTGTTCTCTAATGTGAGACACTCAAGCAGCAAAGTGGACGGCACAAACAATAATTCTTAAAGAATGGACTGAACGCATTTTAATGTTACTCGGATTTAAGGTGTGCTTCTTCGCTGTTTCAGGAAGTATACTCTATATATGTATCAACCACCAAAACAAATAAATCCTAAAATAAACTGAAAACTAGTTACTGCCATTTTCCTCCTCCATACATACTTTTCTGAGACATCCCAAATGAAACTGGCATTTATAAAATAAATGTAGCTAGAATAAAAAAATCTGCACTTTTCTAAATGACGATAAATGATTTGATTTATTTTGTCTCTTCAGTCAGAGACAGTTTGTATTACCATAAGCTCCTGTGTTTTGACAGTTGATGGTTATGCGCCTCACTTTAATTGTGAAGAAATGTAAGGAGTATAATTGGTTACCCTAAGGCTCAGAGAGACTCCGAAGGATGATGAAAGCAATTGACAGCTTATGGGGGGGGGGGTTCACCGGGAGGACAGGGTTCATGTAGAGTTTGTAGAGACTGTTATCTTTTTTAGGACTGGATTTTTCTTTCAGTAGGGGAACTTGGTGCCGGGAGATGAAAAGGCGAAAAATATCTCTGTTTGGAAACTGAGGAGGCAAAAAAAGCTTCTCTGTGAGCCCTTTTTTCTTTACTGAACACTTATTCCATATTCAACTTGGAAGATTATTCTTCACTATAAATATCACACCAACATATTTTTCTACATTATTTGCCATTCGTGTTTTTTCGCAGCAAACTCAAATTAGCTTACATGTTCTGAATTATTCCACTTTGTCCTAAAAACTAAAATGTCTATGAAGAAGTTACACGTCTTGCATAAATAAAACACTAAACCAACCGATCCTATGCTTCGGCCAAAGTTCGATGTACTCTAAAAAGTTTTCTCTTTTAATGTACCAAAGTGAAACAATGCTAACTTAGTAGCAACGTTTGAGGGAAAAACCAGTATGTTAAAACATTAAGAAATATGAATGAAAGTCATGCTTAGAGTTAGAATATCGACCTCTCTTACGTCTGTACACCACATACTGTATAAACCTAATGAGCAGCCAGTTAGCTTAGCTTAGCATGAAGACTGGAAACAATGGGAAAAAGCTAGCATGTCTAGCCACTTCAAAGCTAACTCAGCATAAAGGAACACTTCCGAAATGTTGCACTGTTTTCTATAAAACAGACAGAGTATGTGTGTGTGTGTGTGTGTGTGTGTGTGTGTGTGTGTGTGTGTGTGTGTGTGTGTGTGTGTGTGTGTGTGTGTGTGTGTGTGTGTCTACCTGCTGATCCAGAGGGTGGGGGGGCTCCAGCTTTCTGCCATTCGGTGGCCTCCATGGCCATACGCCTAACAAAAGCATCGTCTACACACATCAGGATGTTCTCTGGCTTGATGTCCGTGTGGATGATTTTACATTTGGTGTGGAGGTAGTCCAGACCCTGCAGGACCTACACACACATTCCGATAAACAGACACAGATTGTATCAGCGAGAAACATGCTCACACATCTTGTTTAGGCATTATTACACTCTGCAGACAAGGCCTCAACACTGTTCAGCGCTTTCCTTTTTCATCTATCTCCCTTTCATTCATTCTCTCTTCTTCAGAGCCAGATTATCCATTCTCCTAATGCTGGTCATCCTCTGAGGGCAGAGACGAGAGGCTGTTGATGTTTCTGCTTCACTGTTTCATGTGATGCTGTCCAGAGGCTTTGGGATGCAAGCGGGGAACAGTCTCATTTATTTTCTACTCATCTCCCGTTTGGCTGTCGAGTGGTTGGCAGCGGCTGAATCGGATCAACAACTCCCCATCCTCATCAGGTTGCCGAGGGGAAAATGCCTCAAAGAGCTGCGTCTTATGAAGGCAGCGGTACTGGAGTGTGAAGTGCACAATGGAATGTATTATTACGAGTAATGGGTGTGAATTGTGCCTCTTGTTTTTATTATACATATATTTACACAATGTGTCTTTCTTCTCTCTCAAATCAGCCTTTAATAGTCTGTGAATAAGATCTTGACCTTCTTCTCGCGATGAATTCCAAATGAAAATACTGTATCATGAAACACAAACGCAAATGTTGTCTAATTTAAAAGTACCACAGCTTCACAGAATAATTCTGCCAACTATAAAAGTGTAGCTAGCCTGGAATCTTTCTTCTTAAAGAGAATCTAACTCAACCCATTTGTAAAACAACATCAGTTCATGGATTGCTTCCTATGTTTTAATTTGTTATCATATTGTGAAAGACGTATTTGATGAGCATGCATTTTTCCAGACAGCAATCAGGCAAGGAACACTGAAAAGAGGAAGCCACTGTTTGATCCATCATCATTGTTATCTGTCTGCTACTTCATTACTTTCTATATGTGCCCTAATCTTTCTCTGTTTTGAATGTGAACTTATTTGATTTATTTTGTTATGTTAACTATGTGCTTGCGGTCTAGGGTTACGGTAAATCATTTCTGATTTTCTGATCGTCATATACTGTACATTTTTTTATTTAGTTTTCAATATGTGTTGCATTAATCACAGATTTGTCAGTTGTATTATCTGCAGACTTATCTCTCTCCACATTACATTTCCTTCAACGCAGTGTTTCTGTAGTCACTGGAGGCTACATGATGCAGTTGAAATTGTGTGTTATAAATGTGTTTTGAACATGCCAATAGTATTTATACTGTGTGTGTGTGTGTGTGTGTGTGTGTGTGTGTGTGTGTGTGTGTGTGTGTGTGTACACACACACACACACACACACACACACACAGTATAAATACTATTGGCATGTTCAAAACACATTTATAACACACANAACACACCCACACACACACACACACACACATTTACACACACACACACACGCACACGCGCACACACACACACACACAGTACACAGTATAAATACTATTGGCATGTTCAAAACACATTTATAACACACAATTTCAACTGCATCATGTAGCCTCCAGTGACTANTAGTTGGATTTAATAATCCACTTCAGCAGGTGGTGACCGAGCACCTCAAACACCATACACACATCTGGGATGGTCAGTCAAGGACTAACACTACTAGATCTTTGTCTGACACACACACACACACACACACACACACACACACACACACACACACACACACACACACACACACACACTTCTGATTGGGATACGTATGCCGTTGACTCCAGAGATCTTGAAGTCATCTATCAGCTGCACCACCATGTCCTTGTTGGGGTCTGCGGGGTCGCTCTCCCTCACCTGGGGGACAAGAGGACAACGAGATGAAGCAAACATGGGGAGGAGGGAGGAGAAGGTTGATTACAGATGGTATGAAAACAAAGAACTCTGAAGGAAAAAGGACAGAGAGAGAGTAAATGAAACTAACTTCATTACGCTGCTACTTATTAAAAAATGTGTATTTTATTAACGTGCGTTTACTTAAAGACTAGTATGTTAACTATACTGTACTTGAATTTGCCTTTCTTTGCCTGCACTGACTCATAAAGGGTTTCTGATTGTGATTCTGATTCTAGAAGATAAAAAAAGAAAGAAAGGGGGATTTGGATGGATGAAGGAGAATAGGGAAGGTAGGGGAAAGAGAGGAAAAGAAGAGGCGAGGGATATGAGAGATAAAGATGCTGAACAATGGACTGTCACTGTCCTCTGCACCCAGCATGAAAGATAAATGACCAGCGTATCTTTAGTGTTTCTTGTTACCAGAGTAGAGGAGGTGCGAGGTGCGAATGTCAAGAGAGAGGGAAAGAGGAGGGAAGGGATTTATAAGTAGATGAAAAACTGGAGTAGAAAAAGTTTCCTGAGAAGAGTCCAAACAAAAGACACAAATATGAACAAACTAAAGAACAAAGGGAGATGAAAGAGAAAGGTTCCCAAACACTTGAATGTCAAATTGCTCAGATCCTCACACATCGCAGCAGC